TTCAATGCTGCCCCATCAAGAGGCAGGCGCTCACGCATACAAATAATGCAGAGAAGAAGAAGAAGAAGAAGCAGATGAAAAAAAGAAAATATTATTAATGTCAACTTCCTACAATTTGAATAACGTAAATTGTGCCTCAAAGATGCTAGTACGAGTATGCTGCCTTACTTGCCAGCCCGGCCACTTAATGCGACATAATTGATGCACAATGTGCGCCTTCATGAGGCAGCAGCATACGAGCATTGTGCCCATTCAGTATTCATTATGCATGCAATGCTCTGCTCTGCTTTGCTCCGCTCTGCTCAATTTGATTAACAAGATGTATCTGTGAGATACCATTTATGTTGAGCTTTGATCCGGAGGTTGGTGTTCGTTTGGCGACCCGTACCCGTACAAATTAACCTTCTTTTTCTGCGAAGGCGTCCAAATATGACTCAACTTACTGCCAAAATATCGATTTTCTCGGCAGTTAAACGTCGCTTACATTGTATGTCACATGTGGGCGTGGCCGAGTGGGTATCTGTCTGAGCAGCTACATAAGCTTCAGGCCGTGTGGGCGGCATTTTCATTTTCAAGGAAGCCCTTCAAAGTTTTTTTGCTTCATTTTTTATGCTACGTGGTCTGTCTGTCTGGCGGGTCTGACAATTATCCGCTTAACGTGCCGCCTGCTCTTGTTGCTCTTGTTGCTGTTGTTGTTGTTTGGGGGCAAAGCGGCGTTGCACGCCGTTACTTAAAGTATCTTAAAGATACAATTCAATTGCATGCTGCCCTTGCTATCAAATGCGCAGCCATAATTAAATGCTTTCAACGCACAAATTGAAATGACAGCTCAAGCATATTTTCAATTTAACGGCCATCAAACAAATGCTAGAAACAATTGCTTTATCTTAAAGATACAATGCAGTCGTAATGAACTCGCTTTTGTCGCTGTTGCAGCTGATGATGATGAGGCAGCGCATTTTCATGGTTTTATAATCGAAATGAACACAGCACAAAAGCTGCAGCAATAATTACTAGTATCTATCGGATAGGTGGCGGATGGATAGCGAAAGCTACATGACGCTCAGTCGACAGTTGAGCGTTGAAAACGAGAAATAATTACAAAATGCCAATGCAGCACGAGCCATTGAACTTTTCCATGGCAAAGCACTTAGATACTCTTCTATCTTTTGCAGCTGAGCAGGAAATTGATCTTTTATTAGCACTGCGGGTGGGGGCCTGTGAAAAAACCGAAAGATACAAAAGTATCTGTGCAGTGCATGCGCCCGATTAGAGCTCATTTCAAATACATTTGATTCAGTGCATGTGGTCCAAGTGTAACCGCAAAAAGTCAAACAAAAATTCGAGGCCGCCAGAGTAATCGGACCCAACCGCAGACACTACTCTCAAGGCCCGCAACACTGCAGAGATTGCTGAGGTGTACACGAGATAAAGCCTTCAAAACTATAAACAAAATACTGCAGAATTGGCGCGTCAAGTTGCCAGCGCTTCAGTTGAAACTAGTCAAGTACGAATAGCTATGGATGCTCTGCAAATAAATTGCAATTTCTTATCTCCCAGATAACTAATCGGCATACAGTTCGGATCAGCCTAAACAAACGGTAAGTACACTTTTAAGTTAATCATAGAATTAAAATCAAATTTTTTTGGTTTAATTTATGATGAGGTCATTGAAGATGTAATGAAGAGAGTTTAATTAAAATTCTGTTGCTTTGAGACACTATGTGAGCTTAGTAAAATTATCTTATGTAGGATGCACAATTAGAGAAGCTAAAGTCGAGTGTCCCGACTTTGAAATGCTCTGTACATATGTGTAGCATAAATAAAGAAATTATAAAAATTAAGACAATTTAAAAACAAAATTTACCTCAGTTGGTATTTGAACTCACGTAAAAGGTGTATTATTAGACATTTGCATAGGAATTGTGTATATGTGAGTGGATGCATGTCTATGCGTGTTTATTCGTGTCTGTGTGAGCATCTTTGAGATACAGGTGTTCATACAGACAGACGGACAGACAGACATAGATCGACTCTTCTTGTCATGCTGATCAAGAATATATATACTTTGTGGGGTCTGCCACGCCTCCTTCGGCCTGTTACATTTTTCACCTCTCGTAAACCTAAAATACTTTTGAACACTTCATGTACAGAGTACAAAAATTGCATCTAGTTGTGAGAGTGCCTAATTCAGTATCTAGAGAGGATGGGAGTGTTCGCGACAAAGTTGATAAACGTTTGATGCGATGTTTAAAAGTAACTCGATGCCGCGCAGCGTCAGCGAAGTCATCCCAATCGAGTTAATATTTGTCTTAAATTTGTAACGTAAATTCATACATAATTAATATTGTAAAAGGCAGCGCTCTTGCTCATCAAAGTCTAGTCTAGTAGTCTCGTTTTAGTTGCTCTCCAGCATTCGAAGAGGATTAATTCGATCTCCCTTGTTTGTGGTTTTAGGCGAAGCAAGACAGTCGGTCAGAGCCACAGCCATAATATTAGTACTTAGTAGTTGACAGTGGAGATTTAAAATAAATAAAAATAACGTTGTTTTAAAAAACCAACTTAGTTTTATTTGTGGAAAGCAAGTCTTGGCTATAATTTTCAAAACAGCTGCCAAAAAATATTGGAAGCTCAACAAATTTTATTTTAGACAGTTCTACGATTTTAGTGAAGCACTTCAACTCTGTGTTTTTACTCGTAGTACGGCGCTAATTTATCGTCATACTTTTATCTGTCTATATATAAATAATTATTTATATATATGTACATGTTTTATGAATCATTTGTTCCTTTCCCTTGTTCGGAGCCATTCAAATGCAAGAATCTCATGTAGGAGGAATGCCCAAAAAGATAAATATAACCATACAAAACTCCCCATTGGTGCGAAAGTTTAAGATGCAAGGACAATTATGAATGATTTGTGAGATTGGGGAGCTACTGGGCGTTGGTGAGAGCAAACGATGCATGCCTTTTCTTTGGCGTTACGCATTTTATGTTCTCGTTCTCGTAGAAAATTTGCTGATATTTCGTCTATATCAGCGCCCTTGACCAGGCCACTATATTAGTTCATGCAAACAAAGTTCTGGTGGAATGGATCGATATATGTTATGAATAATTTGCTAAACACAATCTTAAAATAAAAAGAAATAGTTTCCGAATTTATAGTTTAAGTTAAAACAAATAATTTTCAGTCCGTCACTAGTCGATTATTTTTCAGACAAAGTATTGCTTTAGTACCAATGTCAGAATAAATGAAAAGTGTTCCTGAACTCAGCCCATTCAATAATGGGCAATTCTTAAAACTATTTATAATTCTAACTATATAAATCTATAAATCCCAATTCCACTTAATGATATTACAAAACACTTCATAAAAAAAACAGATTCAGGAAGGGCCATTTATGGGTTACACATACTGTCTACAAACTGCATATACTCTTTAGCCGAAGGGCATTGAATGCTGAATTTGCAATACGAAGCTAACAGTTTTGCGCCAAAGGACGCTGCTGGTGGTCCACGCTCTTAATTAAATTGCTCAATGGATTATGTGGCTGACGCCAACGCAGCAGCTTGGGAATGAATATAGGAACTGACTGGCATTGAGGCTGATTTGGCTTTTTAATAAGCAAGCAAGCAAGCAAGTCGGCGGAAGTTGAAATCTGTTATTAGAGTCCATTCAGTGGCTGGTTCCTTATCTCGAATTGGTCAAAAGAACCGTTCTAATAAGTGCACCGAGCGCATTCAAATGTTAATTTTAGTGAAGTTTGCTGACTTGGCTGGACACAACACGTGTGGCTTCACACAGCGCCCGCTAAAACTTGAAATAAAAGCTGAATGTCATTAGCACTTTGTCGCCTCGGGGTCTGGCTGTGAGTCTCAAGCGAAGCGTGCGAGAAAAACTAACAAAAAGCCGCTGCAGTTCGTTAGCAGTTGGGGGAATACAACATCCGTAAGTGCTTGTTGCCGCTGCTTGTGGCTCGATGGCCGGAAACGGCACTAGTTACATGTGCGGACTGGCAAAGCAGCTAACACCTGAGCCACGCTTCGATTCACTGGGCTCCGACGAATTGGAGTTGCAGACCCAACCCAACCCTGGCCCAGCGACTAGGCGGCACTTAATGACTTGGTCGTTGCGCCTCCAGATGGCATGTCTTGGAAATTGATTGCCTCGACCTGGCAGTAGAAAACACCCACACACGTCAAACACAAAATCGAATTCAGTGCAGCTGCATAGAAATGCTTAAAGTCGTTTCAAGTTCATGGCAATTCAAGCGCAAAAACTGCGCACCGAGTCCTCCAACTTGGAGCCAACAAATGGGCCAGCAACATGCAATTTTCAAATCGCAGATGCAGCAGCAAAAGCAACAGCAGCGTTTAAATATAGCAACATGTCACCAGCCAGCAAAAGCAAAAACAAAAAAAACAACAACAGCAGAAACTGCAACAGCATCTTTGCGGCAATGAAGCAGAAACAGCGCAGCACGGCATGATTCACACAAATGCTTAACGAGATTCAATTTATGGAAGCCACAACGAAGCAGAAATGCTCTTTAGAATCCGTACTTAAGAAAAGAAATAGCTTTTGTATTGGAAAGAATTTCTCAGTTGCAACAACCAATGCCGCTCAATGTCTTCAGCTCTTTAACAAATTTTATTTGTAAATACAAGTACACCAAATTCTATGGTACACGGTTTTAAAATTAAAAATTTTATTTATTTTATATATAAAATTTTATATATGGACTTGATTCCATGTAGCACGATTCAAAATAACATATGATCAATGTCTTTTTTTACACGATTTTTGTTTTACACGACTGGAACCAATCTACCGTGTAAAAACAGAATTAGGTGTATGCTCTTTTCAGGGCATATGCACATTTCTGATAATTTCAATTTTTATTACTGTCACAAGAGTTATCAAAATGTTATATATATATTCTATATATATTATATTATATATTATATATTCTATATATTCACTTTTATTGATTGCTCACCTATTGATTGCTTTAAAATCCTTAAGTGGTTTTGAATCTGCAAAAATAGAATAAAAGTGCAATTAGAAATGGGAAAATTTTAATGGAAACTATTAAATTTTAAGTTGGAATTATCAAGCCAGCTTAATTACGCCTAATTCTGTTTTTATATGTTTTTTTTACACGATTTTGATATAACACGGTTTGAAAATGAAAAATTTCTCTTGAGATAAAGAACCAATCACCTATTTTTGCATATGATCAATGTCTTTTTTTACACGGTTGTTTATGGAACCAATCTACCGTGTAAAAACAGAATTAGGTTTATATAACGCCAGATATACCCTGATTGAATGGGAAATGTTTTCAGAGGCGTTCAACAAACATTACATGAGCTAATAGAAATATCGTAACTGCCATTTGGGGGAACATTTTTTATTCAGTATGAACAATTTTTTTTAGGCATACGGAAAATACTTTAGCAACGCATTGAAGCTTATTAGAAAGCATAATTAGTTTGGGAACACTGATAACGTATTTATTATTTTTTTCTAAATCTTTATTCTTTATTAAGATAATTATTGGATTATATGGTAGCATTGGATTTGTTCAATCATGAAGTGAAAATGCAATTTTCAATTGAAAAGCATATTTTGTATTCCTCAAGATTTTGGCAGCACAAGCTCATTTCTCTTTCCAAGTTTTAAATATGAAATATAAAATTAACATTAACTAGTCTATGATAAATTTTGATGAAAACTTTAACTAATTGAATGCCTTGAAGTCGACGACAAGCAAATGCCTTCAGACATGTGAAATACCCTTTATTGGGTGCATGTCGAACTATTTCAGTACTGTGGAAGACATCACGATTAACCATGCGCTTTCGATGGCTTTGATAATGCGCCAAATTGGCCAACGGAGGCGGAGGCGCAGGACAGGCCAGGCCAGCCGAGGTGAGGCGAGGCGGTCACGTTGTAATTTTGCACCGTCATTGGCGGCCAGCAACGATTAGAAAGGATGACAAAAACAAAAACAGAGACGCTGACGTTGACGCTGATTTTAGTCGAATGCGCCAGCGATAGCGACAGCGGCAGCGCCGGAGCGAAATGCCAAAGTAATCAACGCGCTTCTACGATTATTTGTGATGCAAGGTGGTGGTGAGGGGAGGTGGGTGGTATGTTCAGCGTGTGCGTGATGCGCATGAGTGGCGCATCATTGCGCCTTAAATGGAAGCAGAGCAGAGTAGGGCACAACAACAGCAACAACAACAACTGCACAGTTGACGAGCCCTCTGCAAATACTGACGATGACGATGTGCTGGAAATGTGCATCACGTGCATCAAGGGAGTGAAGGGAGCTGTGCTGCAATTTTTAGACATTTTTCATTGTATTGTCGGGTTTTTTGCTTCAGAGCGCAGCGATGCGTTTATTAAGGACAGCGCACCAACAGACAACAATAATAACAACAACAACAATAACAACAACAACAAGAGCAACAACAACAACGGCGGGGGTGCTGTTTATACTTCACTCGACGACTCTTAGCGTGCGAAGGGAGCGAGCAACGTCTGAAATTGTCTTTCCCTTTTTTGGCAGGCGAATTTAATCGGGGACTGGAAATCAAAGCGAGCATACAAAAGTTGCATGTGGGCCAACAACAGCAAAAGCAACAACAGCAACAACCATAATAATAATAGTTCTTCTTCTTCCTCTTCTGAAGACTATGCACTTTGGGGTCGCTCTGACAGCCATAACTCTTCTGGTCTGCCTCGCCATGTCGTCGTGTTTCGTTTCCTTTTGTGCATTATTGAAATTGCGCAGTTTGCGATTGATCTGCCTATGTAATTTATCGTTGTATAGTAATACTATACTAGGTATACGAAAATGTAAAGGTATGCATGTATAAGCCATTCTGGGTGCAGGTCAGTGTGACTGGCAGGGAAACAATCAATCAATCAATCAATCTGTAAATGGCCAATAAGGTGCGCTACTGGTCCTAGATTTTTCGATGATGTCTTAAACGGATTTATGACAGTCGCACAGTACATAGCAATGGAATAACTTAGGCTATGGTCAGACGGGGAAAACATTCGCACACAAACTCCTCAAATCTTACAAGTATCCCAATTCAGTTTTTCAAAGTAGAATTTCATGATATAACTGTGAAAAACTTAAAAAAAAATTAAAATTAGTAACGACTTTAGAAATCAATTTACTGGAATAACTTAGGCTATGGTCAGACGTGGAAATCACTCACACACAAACTCCTCAAATCTTACAAGTATCCCAATTCAGTTTTTCAAAGTAGAATTTCATGAACAATATGTGAAAAACTTTAAAAAAATCAAATTATTTACGATTTTAGAAATCAATTTAGGTTTGTAGTTTTAAAAGAAACATAAAAATGTGCACTACTGGTCCTAAATATTTCGATGATGTCTTAAACGGATTTATGACAGTCGCACAGTACATAGCAATGGAATAACTTAGGCTATGGTCAGTCGTATCCCAAGTCAGTTTTTCAAAGTAGAAATTCATGAAAGAAATGTGAAAATTAAAAATTAAATTAGTTACGATTTTAAAAATCAATTTAAAAGGAACATAAAATGTGTTTTAATTGAAATAGATCGTTCCTGTTTTTATTTCATGAGAAATAGATCCAATTTGAATAAAAACTACTATTTCTACTGATGGGTATAAATTGGTGAAACTTTGAAAGAAACTTTTTGAAAGACTATTCCTAAGCTCAACCCTGAAACATCTTCATGTATAAGATGCGGCTTAAGATTTACAATTATTTATCATATTTGCGATAATTAAATGTTATAAAGCTATGTTTTGTTAGTCATCGGCGTATCACCTATAAATAGAATAACTTCGTAAATGAGCTCAATGCGTGCTGCAATTTCAGATGTGGATTATTTTTCACTTTTTATTCCTTTTATATGTATGTATACCAGCCCCCCAAGTAAACGATGCCATCCCAAAAACAAAAAATTAGACCAAACAAAGGAAAGAAAAGAGAGAATTTTTGCGCTGGCTAAAAATAACAATTTGATCCCCTCAGAACGGGAATTCCGTGGAAGCGAAATGAAAACAAACTGCGACGTGCGAAGGCGGCTATGAAGAGCAACTCACACATGAAATGGGAAATGTGGGGAAGCTGTGTTTGTGCCGGCGGCCCCATTCTGATTAGCAGCCGGAAAGTCAAAGAGGAAGAACTGGGGAACAAGTGCAATTAAATGTCTTGAAAGTATTTGCGTGTTCGGCAATAAAAGAGAAAAGTTCGGAAACGCTGTAAATGGGATGTAAACGCCCCAGGCGAGAGTATCCCCTACACACAATGAAGTGACCAATTATGTCAAATTTTCAAACGCATGTTAATTCGTGTGCGTGCGGAAGTTTGTCCAAAGCACTCGAACTCGTCAGCGCCATCATTTCCAGCAAGTAGTCGGGCAAACCTAAAACTTCAAACCCAAACCGTCAAGCTCTCTCTGTCAACAGCAAGTTTGCCACGCATTGTTGACCAATTGCCGCTAATGACGACGCTTTGTCACACGCCCCAGATGCCCCAGACGCCGCAGTCGCCACTTCAGATCACATATCTTCAGTGTAGCTTGACATTTTTGTGTTGGGGGGGAGGTGCGGCGATGCATTTTGTCATTTATTCCGTCCGCCAGTCAGTTCTGCAGTCAGTTTTAATGATTTTTAAATCGCTTTTTATGTTTAATTGCTGCAGTTGTTGCTCATATTTCAGCGCCCAAACCGCACTCCCTGAACCCCATAGAGATGTGATTATTTGAACTAGTAGCTCAAAAAACCATGGTTTCAATCCAAGTGGAAAAGTCAAATTGAAGGGAAAGCATAACTCGAACAAAACTAAATTCAAATGAAAAAAAAATTGTATACAAATATTTTTATCTTTTTATATAACACAGATTGTGCTAACGGGCTGTGCTTTGGCCAGAAGTTTGGTTTTGGAAAATTCGATCTCCAAGTGAGGTGAAATCGCCAACAAAACATGTATGAACATTTTAATATGAAACACTCTTTCTTTTGCGATAACTAAAAACAATTTATAGAGCGTTTACTGAAGCTTGAGAAGAACGTGTACTTGTATATAAATTTGATTGTTCTTACAGATAGATGGGACTATATCGCACTGTAAAGGATATATATATATATATATACTCCACCCTTTCGGGTAAAGGTTATTTAAATTAATCTCACCACAGATTAAGCCGGGGTCTGTTCGAAAAACTAGCATTACTTGGTGTACGTAATTTTTAACCTTAAGTCAATTGAAGTGATTAATTCTGTAAGAAGTTCACTTGGCGTATCAACCACGATTGGTAACGCCGTTATTATCATTCTACAGGGTCAAAAACAAATATGTTTGAAGTTGCTTGACCAAAATGTAGACCACATCAGGGTCTGAGCTCCCAGCTCAATGCAATAATTTGAATTCTGCTATTAGTTAAGATTTAGAATGAAACCACATGGCGTCCATGCAATAGAATTTCGTCTATCGTTTAACCTACATTCGACTAATTTCCAAGTTCACATTGTGGGTCAGCAAAACTAATTTCATGCTGTTCTCCCGCAGCAGCCAATCCCCGAACTGATGCTCGGTTGCTGCCCGCCTGCCCGGCCATTATCAGCAATTACCTGGCACAGCGTTTTCACGATTTTTGCGCCAACAACTTCCACTTCGGGTTAGCTGCCCCACCTTCGCTCTCCTTCGAACGATGAGTGGCTGAGCTTAGCCGCTCCTTACAAGTGGAACAAATTTATTTGCCCGTCCAAATGGCTATTAACAATTTTTCTTGTGACTAATCTTTGCATCTGCCTAATGTTTTTGGCTGCTGTTGCTGCAAAAAATTATTAGAGGGAAATCGCCACATGTTTCCGTCGCCATGGAGCGTTATTCGGAGCCATAACTCCTGCCAATAACCGTTGGTCATGTTCAGGGGCGAAATCTGATCGCGACGCTGAAGCTGCTTTCCTGCCTTTCCATTAGGAAATATTGCTGGAAATTGCATATGGAAAAATGCA